GAAAGAGAAGCAAGACAATAAATAGAAAGAAGATGCGGCATGCTTTTCAAACTGAGGGCAGGCATGACTGTATTACTATAAAGTTGTTACAGTGAAATGGCATCTGGCCTCAATTTCTCTCTCTTTACCATAAAAAAAAAAAAAAAAAAAAAACCAAACCAAAAAAAAAAACCCCAAACCTGAAAAACCTATTCAATCTTTATATTTGAAAGAGGAATGCTCATAGCATAGAAATAATTTCTCAAACAGGGAAAACGTATTACAAACCTATCAATTCCCTGGTAAGGCTTTTCCTTCCCCCACATGAACCATCTCATGAACCTGAATGGTCTTCGGATTGAGCTCAGCAAGAGGAAACAGGTCAGCACCACAGCACCAGTTTCCCTCTGTTGGACATTCGGACTCCTGATGCCTCATACTGCAGTAAGATCTCAGAGCCTTGGCTGGTGTCCACGACCACTACCACAATCAAACCATGACTGATGGAGATGGTGTAGGAAATGACCATCTAGGTCATGCTATTTAAATTTTCCCAGCAAACTTTAATATTTTGGTTAGCTTTGAAAGTAGAGGTATCTGCTTTGTAATCATTGTGCATCCGCTGCAGAGTAATCCAGGTCTGAACAGCAAGATGGCAACTTCCCAATTAACTTCTAGGGCTAAAGTCTTGTAAATGTACTTTGGCTGAGTAATCTCTGACTCAGATTAATGTGGGTGGAACTGGTATGCCTTCTTGTAGAGGAAAAAAACCAAAGTGGAGTTTGGCCTTTGATTCCTAAAGAAAGTGTTGCGTATGAGAAGATAGGAGTTGTGTTTCATGACTATAGGCACTCTCCAGAGCATTGTGTGGACAGTGGCCAGCACCAGATGGTTCAGGAGAAGGAAGGGCAGCTCTGCAGGAGGCAGCCGTGGGGTGATCTGCTGCACTGCACACACCATTGTTTGCAGCTGGATCTTGTAACGCTGAACATTTGAAGCACAAGGTTTAATATCCCTTCCCAAATGTTTGTTATCGTAACTTGGCTATTCTTTTTAAGCATTAGAAATTCTTTTTCTGTAGCTTAATAAAATCTTCATCTCGTAGCCATCTCATAGCCAGAAGTGAGATCTACAGCCTGACTCTAAGGTTTTGGAGAAAAGTCCACCTTTTAGCTATGTTTGGTTCTACCTAGTTTTTATCCTGAGACATGACAGAAGGATCTGACCTGTCTTACCTTGATCATTAGTTATTTTCAGTATTTTATCATATGACCCCTTACCTTTTTCTCTGAAGTAAACAAAGCCAAGATTTAGAGGTTCTTCCCATTTTTTTCTGGGCCCTTAATCATTGTTACCACCCTTCTTGCAGCTTCTTTTTATCAAAAAATGCCCCTTGAGAGAAGTCAGCAGCACTGGATGCTGCATTTGAACTTTGGTTGTAACATTACGCAACAGTACTGTGTCTCCCGTCTTGTTCATCCCTCTTCACACATCTTTTGGGCGCTCACATGTATTCTTCAGACTTGTAGATTACACTTCAGTTTTTCTTGCCCTCAATTAATTCCTAGAAAGAAATAAGAGGCAGCAGAACAGGCCAACTTCATAAATCTTTATCTAATACTAGCAAGTCATTAGGCCTGTGAGTAAAGTCTCCATCTGTTCCCAAAGAAACCACAGCATTTTCTACACTGTGTCAGCATCTACTATAATATTTCCGCTCTCAGAGATTTCTTGAGTTTTCTCCAAAGGTCCCATATGTCTGCCTCTTCCTTACTCCCTCCAAAGAAAAGCAAAGAAAATATGCAGCATGCAAACAAAAACTAGAACGGCAGCAGCCCCTTCAGGAAGCTGTGCCCCCTGCATCATGGGCCAAAAATGACCCATTTTGGGAAAGAGGCCTAAAATAAGAGCCGATTACTGCTTTCTGCAAAGGAACACAGCTAAGTAATAAACAAGGGCGGCATGGCAGCTTCCAGCACTGCTTCTTAAGTGTATCTTTGTCCTTTTCAAGCAACTGTTTCCTCCTAGCAATCTGGCACATCAACATCTATCATGACCTAGTTAGATTTCAGTTTATATTTCACCTGGTAAGTGTGTGTGGACTCCAGGGGACCTAAGGGGGACCAGTTCGTGCAAGCCTCACTCGAGGAAAACTCACCTTGAACCTCCTGTGTGTTCTGCCTCAGCACAGATTGAAAGGCTCACAAACCATTATAGGTTATTCTGCTGCTCTGACTGTTGCTAATATGATTATGTACTAAAGAGTTTAAATGAAAATTGTTTAGTTGGCTAGGAAAGAAAAGGGGAGGGAGGGGGCGTGTGGGAGAAACACATTTGAAGCATTTTTGAAAATGCCAACTGGCTTTGCTTTGTTTGGAGCTGGTCAAGCAGAACAGTGGCACTGAGCAGCTAATCAGTAGCTCTTACTCCTCCAGAGAATAGCCAGCTCCCTTCACGCTTGGCACCAGCACAGCCCAGCTGAATACCCTTGTGTTTGCTTATTCTTTTGGCAGAAGTGAAAGAGTACGAGCCCCCGTTTGGCTCTAAAGTGCGAGAACACCCCTGCGTGGAAAGCATGAAGGACAATGTCCTAAGAGACAGAGGGCGACCCGAGATCCCCAGCTCCTGGCTTAACCATCAGGTAAGAGGACCACGTGTGAGCAGCTGGGAGCTGCTGCCTGAAGCCTGAGCCCTAACTCAGCTCAACAGTCTGGATGTCTCTTTTGCATGGATTAGAGCTCTGTCACACAGTGACACCGGTGCTGCCGTGGTTCAGGCACCACAGTGCTCTCCACCATGACTTCTGCTGCCCACCAGTGTAATCTAAAAGTGATCAAAACAAAAAAATTGGAAACCTGAGATCTGACAATCATCCAGCCAGCCTCAGAATAATTAGGGCTTTAGAGCGTACTGTGTGCAGGCTCTGAAAGGTCAAAGAGAAAAACTTCACACATGGGCCCCTTCAGCAGAGAAAACAAATCTCAGTACTTTATCATGGAGAGCAGTCATAGTTGTATCCCAGCTGTTGACAGGTTTAAGAAAATAGGAAATGAGTCTTCAGCAAGCCAGTCTGTTTTTATTCAGGTTGCACGTTAGCAGTCCGTTTCCCTTGCATGTCGTGAAGCACTTTGTCAGCTTCCCCATTCACGGACACCACGGTTGCACTTCCTAGGCAATAGTTGCAGCCTGATTTATCAGTAGAGATAAAACAAGAATCGTATCAGGGGAGAAGTGAGGCTTGGTCATTCCACTTGTCAATGAAATATGTTGAGTGGTCTTTACAGAGAAGAGGAAAGCATCGTGAACAAGCCCAGCAACCAAGATCAGCTAGTATTTCTACCAGGAGCAATGTAACACTCCCTTTTTCATTCCAGTCGAGATGTTAAAATCATAGCCTAACACCTACTTAGGAAAGGCCAAGTGAGTGGCCGAAATCAATCATCTTTCCAACTTAGAACAACATGTCTGCCGTCTGATGACTGTGGCAGAGTGCGGCTCCTTGCAGGACCCCAGGGACTTGCTCCCTGTGTAGTCATCTATGATGAGTAGGGTTACTGAGGTGGGGTGCTTTAACTGGGGAGGAGAGCTGTATTTTGTGGGACACGTGGATATTTGATGTCACTAGTACTAAAAAGCTCTTGACATTTCTAGGAGCCATAGATACAGCCATCATCTTCTCAACGACAAGTTGAGCTGAGGGATTGTACTAATACTCGTCTTTGTAGAAAAGAACTGGTTGCAGAAATAGTATAAAAATTGTGGATGAGCTGGTGAAAGGGATCATGAGTTGGCTGCAGTTGTTTGTTTTCCACAAAGCCAAAATGAAGTCCAAACTGGTAATACATATGTGGTACTTTAGGAGAGCCCAATTAACAAAGCAGAAAAGAATCCTGAGCCAGATCATTTGGGAGAAAAAAAACCTAAATAGTAGAAAATGCTTAAAATTAGTAACAATGTGAGAACATGTCTCGGGATATTCAAAAGACATGGTCTTATGTGTGAAAAAAATTAAAGAAGGGTAGGGAACTGATAAGGGAAACAGAAGAACAACAGGAAGATCTGTGGTCAGCAAACAAGGATAATGACCATTTTCTCAAGAGCAAAAGGAAACCTAACTTAGTACCAATCTGTTGCTGGATATGAGAGAAAGATACTGCTTATGCTAATGCGAACGCAGACGTCAGCAAATATTTCTGTTCTGCATTTGGGAAGAGTCAGATGATGTACATGTAATAGAAGGTGATGAAAGCCCCTATAAAGCAGAAGTCATCGGCACTTAAAGCAGGCCAGGGGCAATGTTAGTTGGCCCAGAGCCTTGTCTGCGTTCGGGACAGGGCTGCTCCCGTGGGCACTGCCGCAGGGCACTGCATTACGTGGCGGTAGAAGCGGGCAGTACCGCCGGTTATGGCCTGGAGAGAAATGTCTGGGAGCTCATTTAATGCGCAGCCAGGCATAGCAGCAAGCGTAGGTGTGCCGGCACACCCAGGGTGCCGGGGCAGGGAAGCGCTGGGCTCGGGATCCCCGCGGAGCTCAGGCATGGGGCAGGCCCGCGGCTGCTCTTGTGGCAGCAAGCCTGAGCGTGCGGAGGGCTGCAGCTTGAGGTACTGGAGTGGAGCTGTAAGATACTCTGAATTTTTCCACCTCTAGGTTTACATAACGAGTAAAATGACGGCAGATTTGGACCTAAGTGTCCTGTGTTCAACTTCAGAGATTTCTTCCCTATGTAAAAGCCAGACCTCAGTCTGTCCCCCCAGTACGGGGCACCCCACCGACTGGGAGAACCACACGTCTGCATTTGTGTGTCACCGTGTGTCACCGGCACGGGCACGGCTGGCTCCAGCAGGGTTCAGCTGAGAGTCTAAGGCAGGAAATGGATGCCTGATAGCACACTCACAGGACATTTAATGAAGGTGGATTTAATTCCCTTCATCTGAATCCCTTCAGCATTTCACATTGCGCTATCTAAAATGCAGTGACGCATTGGCTTCCACGGGGCTGTGACAGTTTGCAGCAGCTGAGGATCTGCTTTGAACTCCATAGAAGTTGCTCTTACTGTAATGGCTCTTCCATATTCATTTCCTTCCTCTGCAGTCATGTTTTTGTAATGAACTCATTATTCATCGTGATAAAATTCTGGAATGGATTTACATACTACAATTTTTTCCCCCCTTAATGAGATTTGTTGCACTATTGATTTCAAGTTAATGTTTAATATTTAATTTAATTTACTGCTTGTAATTTCAATGCCAGCAGAAAACTAATGTTATTTGTATACAGACAATAACATTCTGCTATTAACATTGACATCAGTCAACATCACCAATTAGGTAAATTATGCAATTAATGCAGTGTTGTGAAATGTTATTTTTTTAAATAAGAAGTTTAAGATAAATCCTACTTAATGGGCTTTTAGTGTCATAAAGCAAAGCACACAATTTCCTGGCAAATACCTCATGTTTATAAAATGCATTACAGAGCTGCAACTGTTTTTTGCTCCTGTAAACATGTGCATCAGCATTGAAATGAAGGTTAAATAGTTACATCTGTGAGTGACATGTGTTTAAGCGTTTGTGGGACTGTGGCCCATATTTGCACATAGATTTAGTTAGTCTGCAAGGAATTTATGAAGGGCTGATGTAGCGCCTGATATTGCTGGCAATCAGAATTTTGTTCGAAAAACCCAGACAGAATTCCATGCAAAGTCGTCATGGGTTGAGCGGGAAGTCACCTTATCCAAGAATTCTGATCATATTTATTAAAAATATACCCTACTTGATTCTATAGCACTAGTCCAAGGCACCATTTTTCTTCTTATAAAGTATCAGAACATACGCCCAGAAATGACAGTACCAACTAAAGTGCTGAAAATATTGTAGTGGGGTTTCTTTTTATAAAAAAAAAAAGCATGCCCCCATGACAGGAGCAGGAGAGCCTTTAAAGCACCTCCAGGACACACGTGAATAAATGCCCTGAGCTTCGGAGGGCACCAAAACCACTCTCCCACGCGAGCTTTGGTGGTGACTGGCCCCATCACAGCTGCTCTCTCTGTGCTCCCTGCAGGGCATCCAGATGGTGTGTGAAACTCTTATTGAGTGCTGGGACCACGACCCCGAGGCCCGGCTGACGGCACAGTGCGTCGCAGAGCGCTTCAGCGAGCTCAAGTACCACGACAAGCTTTCGGGGAGAAGCTGTTCAGAGGAGAAGATCCCCGAAGACGGCTCCGTGACCACTGCCAAGTAGCACGTACGCTAGAACTCTGAAACGG